TGATTGCGCCGCCAGCAATCATTGACCCAATGATTGCGGGATAATGACCCGGCGGCGGTCTCCCACTAAGCCACGTCGGAAGACGATTCCAGCCGTTGGATCTCTCGTGGTCACAAACCAACGGTCCAGATGTGATCATACGGCGGAGCGGTTCGACGGGGGCCCCTACACGGCTGTATGAGAGCTCCGCACGACGAAACATCAACCGTTGATCATGAGATCAACGGCTCGGGTTTCGTATACCTGGACCGAACCACGAAAACGCCCTAGAGGGCATTTTTTTGAAGATATCTCTCGATCAGGTGCGTTAAATTGAATGAAATTTTAACCCTAAATTATAGACACGAAGAGCATTCATGGGGAAATAATTTCAAGATCTAAAACTAAGTATATCAAAAGTTATTTAACATTGAGTGTTCTAACTAGGGTTTAGGTTTATACCGAAAATACTCGATGAAATCAAGAGATCTCTGGCTTGTTGCACTTGTAGACTGTCCACGCTCCTAGTTGTAGAAGAAACCACGAGCTTTCGACGTCTAGATCTTGCGCAAAACGAAACGGAAGGGAAACCTCCTCGGGTCGCCGGAGAGTTCGCCGCCGGCGGCTTTGGGTGGTCGAGTTTGACGTGGGGAAGGGAGAGGAGTCTCTCTAGATCTCTCACACGAAATCTCAAGTGTTGAGGCGGCCTAGAGAGAGAGAAAGAGCAAAAAGATCCGGATTTTGACCTAATTTTGGCTATTTAAGGCTTCTAATCCTATGATCAGCGGCTAGGATCGAATTGGGAGGTTATTTGGAGGGAAACCAGGCTTAATTAGCCGTGGTTTTGAATTCAAAACGAAGGGGAGGCTTTTATGCAATTAATAGGCTCTTAAATTGACTTTAATGGGTTATAATTGACCTATTATGACTTGGGTTGACCAAGTCAATGGCTGACTTGGTCAACCTAGTCAATTAGGTCCACAGGGAAGAGTGATCAAGCCATGAAGCCATGAAAAGGATTTAAAATTGATTTTAGGCTTAAAGGGTCTAAATTGGTCAACCCTGGTTGACTTGGTCAACCGGGTTGACTCAGGGTCCAAGCTCGGGCTCAATAGACTCGACTCGACCCCACGAACCTATTGGAGAGGGTCTTGGGGTCAAACTTGGACAATTTGACCAAGTCAACCCTTTGACCAAGGTTTTGGGCAAAATCGAGGTCAACATCTATAAAACCCGATCCTCTAACGATAACCCGACAGAGTCGACAAGGTTCAAGCTACAAATGAAAATGACCCCGAATGCCCCGATGATGGCCGTGTTGAACGATGATCTCAACCGGAGGGGTTCACAAATATTTTCAAATGTCACTATACTACTCAAAAATTCAAAACTCCACAAAGTCAAAACTCCACAAAATCCTAAAAATTCCCAAAAATATTTAAAATTTAAATTCAACCATCAAAGAACTTAAAACAAATCCATACACTTTCCGCAATAGTTTGCCGAGATGGACAAATTAATATTTACTTCAGCTCAAAAAGAGCTAATAGTCTAGTCGAAAATATCACTATGATCCATTCTCAAACAATCTCCTGCCAGTAAAGACGTAGTATGTGCCCTCTAACTTGTTGTTTTGCTGCCAAATAGCACCGCAGGATAAACGGTTATGACCCGGGACCCTCTGAACCGAGTGGTTTTGCCGCCAAATGGCATCACGAAATATCAGTTATGGCCAGAGCCAATACACTCCTTATTGACATCAAATCCTTGAGACATGAATCAATAGGATGTGATTGATAGGGCACAAAACCTTCTATAGCTAAAGTGGATTCAAATTTATCCTCTTAGACAAACATTCAACCCAGGTCTACAAGGTACCCTTGGACGAAGCAACCCATGGCTGCTGACAAGGTTCCTTTTGTCAGGTTAGGTCGACTACCTCCTCTGACTAAATAGATCAGGGACCATAATGGCCCGGGACGACGGAACCATAAAATCTTGATCGGGTCCATCATCCATTCCCCCACCATCCGCTTTAAGTGAAAGATGGTAAAATTTCTATTTTAAATATCAAATTTTTCAAACATCCAAACCCTTCAAATTTTCATAATTTCCAAATCCAAACCCATGTTGCTACTATATGCCAGATACCACGTATTCTCTACGTATTTTATTGACGACTAGCCTTAATCGAAAGCTCTCTCTCATTATCGAGAGGGGTAAATAACTATAGAGGCTTACGCCTATAGGAAACCAGAACTCATATCATAAAGTCCTCACAAAATGAGGGCGAAATCTCTGGGTAGTGTCTTCTCTACAAACCCATCTGCCTTCCAAAATTTGCCTCGGAGCTTAAATCCCTTAAAACTCCCTCGCCGAAAACAAACAGTGCTGGCGGAGGCCAGGGCCGAATTTTCGGAGCCCACAGTTTTATGAAAACTCAAAATCTTTTTAAGATAAGGATAGGGAAGGTTTAAAGGATGTTTCTGAACACAAAAATAAGATGATTCCTTGAAAAATATAGATTTTAAAAATTAGGATTTTCGCTGATTTTTGTATTCTTTCAAAATAGCTTTGTAGGAAAGTTTTCTAGTGACGTTATGGAACTTATTTATGAAGTTAGTTAAATTTTAAGAAGAAATTTTCATGCTCCAAGATTTAGGGTTTTTCAAAATTATGAAAACTTTTAAGTGTGTTGGTTCCTAATGAACTTAGGAATGTTTAAAAGCAAAGATTAGAGCTTTAGTACAAAATGTTATTTTTCTAAATTTTAAATTAGGTAAATCTGAAAATATATTGTATGTTGAGTTATGTTTAAGTGTAAGAGATGGTTTTTATGCATGTGGTAAGTAAAGGAATTGAATGAGGTTTCAAAAAAGCTAGATTTATGATTAAGTTCCAATTTAGAGGAAATAAAAAATGGTATTTATCATGAATTGGGAAAAGGGTTGAGTAGAAAGTCTAAGCATGGTTTATGGATGAGTTCATCGTTCATAGATTAGGATTTTTAGAAGTTTAAAAGAGAACAAATAATGTTTACACTTTATGTCTATCTCTTGTAGATATTGATCGCGTAAAGGGAAGGGTTCATAAGGACTTTTGACGAGTCACACCGTGGTGAAGTAGGTAAAATGAAATTATTTTAATTTTGGAAAGTTCTTTAGATGTAAACATGTAGAAATGATATTTCTCTTTATGTTTTTTGTAATATCATTTATGGCTAGCATGTTTTTATATAGAAGCTCATGATCACATAATACAAAAGCAAAGTTCTTATGCATTGATAGCAGAAAATGGTAAAACTCATATTTCTTTCTTTACAAGTATCATATATGCATTCTTCTACATGCAACATACATTTGAGCATATCTTTTTTTCTCATGTAAGTAACAAACATATAACTCTATATGAGAACATAAATATGAATGGTATACATAAGCCTCTTTTTTGAATAAATAAGAACTATTTGCATATGCATGTTTGATGCGGAACTATCAATGATAAAGGGGTTATTTTGAGATAATGGTAAAGTGGCTCTTTTGAGCCAAATGGTAAAGGGGTTTGCTAAAACCAAATTGAAAAGGTGGTCAATTAAATGTGTACTTGATCAGTACAAATGATACTTCCGAGACGGGTGTTAAATATTATGTTAATATGATATTATATCTTTATGTTAAATGCATATGAGGCATCTAATGAGGCATGAATGCTTAAGGAGAAAGAATTACAAGTTAATGCAAAGAAAGAGAACTTAAAGGTTGATTTAAAGGCATGTTCACCTTACATAATGTATTATGACATGTTGAATATTGATTTGCTTAGAATTAAAAGAATGTTGTAGTTTCTTTCCTTGCCTCTAAATTTAATTGAATATCATTTTATCTATTGAGTTGTGACTCACCCTACTTATGGGACACTTTCAGGAGAACCCGATAAAAGATAATGACGGATAGATCACCCTTTACGTACCGTCGTAGGGAGATGACGGGCGACGGGTTCTTTCTTTTTGGTTTTTGATGTTTTGAGTTTGAAGGATTCATAATGAATTATAAGGAAAAAATTTTGTATATCTTTTCATGTTTTAAACATATATTTTTTAATGTTGAATGGTAGATGAATAGAAAGATAGAAAAATTTCACTTGGCTTTTTAGTGGCTCTTTCTTGAAGTTGGAGATGTTTTGATATTGTAATGTAAAGATTTTTATTTTCTACAATCTGACTTTCATTCCCGCCTCGCCTATGCGAGCTTACCTCACAGCTCCATGCCGTGTTAACTGCAATATTTCTTACACAACTTCTAGCATTACCAATGATCTATCCTCCTTATTCCATTCACACTAATTATATATCTACCTCAATAGCCCATCTTCTAACCTCAGTTTTACACGCCCTAACAACTCATCTGCTTTCAATGATATATTCTTGAATAGATGATACTCACACCATCTCTGTGGTATTATCCTTTTCACTATTTTTTTTTCATACATCCATCTTAACATTCTAAGATAGACCACATTAAAGTTGGCGGCTAATTGCTTATTTGTCCTACAAACAATTTTAATGAATTTACATTCAAATTCCATTATTGCACAGTAGTTTTGAGCACTTCTTAAGTTTAATCATCCAATTTTAAATCTAGAAGTAATGCGCTCATCTATATTCCAGGTCTTTTGTACTAAAAGATCCAAAAAATCTAAGCCTATCAAACTGAACAATAACTTAAACAGAATTAACTTATAATAATAAATTTATGTGACTATAATTACACATACATACTCAATCTATATTCAAATAATACTACCCACTTCTAAAATTTTTCATTGATATAATGTTCATTTACTTCAAAAGAGTTCTTACCAAAAAACTTACACTAAGCAAGCTTACCTTTAATATGGTTAGTAAGCACTTTCATACACCAGGAAACATTCCATCTTAGGATATGGCAAAGCAACAATGAACTAAATAGGAAACTTGAGAATGCATTGAAGAAAATATTATCAAACATCAGAGAAAACATTACATAGTGTCCCCCAGAAGTTATTGTGTGGCCACAGCGAGGAGAGGGTGATTGCCCAGGAAGCTTTAACTGAGTCCAACCTGGTGTCTCATTCTCTTCCACAAGAAAGGTATAAGTATCTCATCAGAATCATAAAAGGGTTAATTCAAATAAGAACTAGCAACATTTGACAATAAATTCAAACACAGTACAGACAGATTCACAGCTTGAAAGAATTTCCTAATAGGCCCGCATCACATACAAATGAACATAGCAGCTTAAGCAGAGATAAATTTAAGATATCAAATGTTTGGTGCCTGTTTTCATAGTATAATGCAATGAATCCTAGAATATCCAACTGATGAATAATAAAAAGTATATAAGGAAGAAAGGAAATTATAGCTTAAGGAAAAAAAAGAACAAATAGCTTCCAGTGCATACCAAGAATGCATTAGGAAAAGCCAAAATAAGAATGAATGAACTAAGCATTTCAAAAGCATTAATAATATTTTCTCCATTTAACATACATATTAAAGTTACTACACGGAGACTGGGCTACCATATTATTGATACTTAAGGCGCCCTTTTTCTATTTCCTTCTCTTTTTAAATTTCAAAAGTTTCAGGCATTTAAACTTGCATACTAACTTTAAACTTGTATTTTAAATTCAGCAGAATATTAATACTACTACTACAACAACAACAATATCAAGCCTTTGTCCCACTACGTGGGGTCGGCTACAACAATCTTTTTCTCCATTGTGTCATGTTAAAAGTCAAATTCTCGTTTAAATCTAAAATTAATGTATGATTAAATATTGATTGAAAATTACAAGCTAGAAAACTTTTCCAGGTATATTTCCATCAATCAACTTGCTATCTTTCTTACATGAGATATCAGGATAAAAAATGTCGTTAGTGGAAACCATAGTAACAATGCTACCCTTCAAGAAAACCAAAAAGAACGGAAGCCTTGACAACAGTGGTGTTTCATCAGCATGTTAGTGCCTTTCTTAACGAGTAACGTGAGCAATGGTGCATATGCTACGACAACGCCCTCTACACGTAAGAGCCAGCCGCCTGGTTTAGAAGGACCTAACCCAGCAGAGAAGTTGGGCGGGAATAGGGAAGGGGTTTTGGCTCCCTTTATAGGGCTCAGGAAAACTGTAATTCAATATGTAAGGAGGAAAAATAGAGGTAGAGATATTAAGGAATGTTTTAATTAAAATTGGGAGGGAATTAATTAGGGAAAGAGATCCAAATTGGATTCAATTTGGTGAGGGAATCATTTAGGAAAAGTAGGCTGATTTGAGAGGGAATTGGGGAAGCCTATTTTATTTCAAATGGGATGCATGAGTTTATGCTATAGTTTTCTTTGAAAGTTTCCTAGCAGCATCTAAGATTTGTGGGAGAGCTGATTTACCTCTCGAATGGTAGATCAATTGTATCTTGCATCGCTTTTGAAGAAGAAATCCAAATTCCTCTCCTAAATATGTATTCATGCACTTTAATTATCTCCATTGCTATTTTCTACCTCCAAGATGCTACAAATTGGTATCAAAGCAAGGTTTTTTGGATACAATGGCATCAAAGAAGATGGATGCATTGGAAGGTGAAATGGAGCAATTCAAATCTGGGATGGAGGAGAAATCCTCAACTATCGAAGAAATATTTTCAACCATAGAGAATAGGATGGAGAGCCGATTTGGGGGTTGGAGGAGATGATGAAGAACCTCATTGCGATGCAATCCAAAAATCCACTGGCGGTTCTGATTTTTAACCCTCACCATGATTTGGTCTAGATTTTCTTGGTCGAATCTAAAAGGAAAAAAGATCATATGGGAAGAGTTTGATGAATAGAATCCCTTTCATCAAGAGCCACCTCTTGCGGCTCCGATAATGAGCAGAACATAATTTCTTGATGGGAGAAAAAAAGAAGGGAGTTTTATGGTAAAGGTGGTGGGGTGACTGACCACTATGGAAGGCTTATTAGGCGAGGGGAGTGGGCTACCAGAGAAGAAGGAGGACAAACCGAGCCATGGGGATCTGGTCATGGGAGGCAGAAGGATGAAAGGTTGGATTCCCACCCTATTTATATGCGGGGAACCTTCGTAGGAGTAGAAGCTAGGGTGGAGATGCGAATGTAAGGAAATTGAAGATGTTTATGTTCTAAGGGAAGATGTCCATGGATGTGTATACCGGGTGGATAGGCAATTCGCAGTAAATGAGAGAGGAGGACAAACTTATAGTTGCAAGGTTATGTTCAGAGGGGAAAGCCCTAACTTGGTTCTAGTGGAGGGAGGCTAGATATCTGATCTGTTCGTGGGAGGAGTTTAAGGATTGCTTGTTGGAATATTTCCAAGCCATTTGGGAAGGAGTCCTACACGAGCAATTCCTTACCTTGACTCAGGAGGGGACCGTAATGGAGTACAGGGAGAAGTTTGAGTTGTTTTCGAGGAGGTTGAGTGGATTTTCTAAGACAGTGTTGGAGGGAAATTTCATGAAGGGTCTCAAGCCCAACATACAAGCAGACCTCTAATTGCTGAGGCTGAGGTGCTTGATGGAGACGATAGAGCTAGCCTAAATAGCGGAGGATCAGAGACAAATGGAGAGGATCAATAATAGCAAAGTCATGGAAGGCTCTTATAGAAGTACCTCGACTTCAGTGGCACCGAAGACCCAGTCGATGTCATTTTAGCGAGAGGCACCAAGGGAAAAGAGTGCGAGAGTTCGCCCCGGAGCCAACTTCAAGCACCTCACAGAGGAAGAGGTGCAGGACAAAAGAGCGAAGGTGTATAATTTCACTATGATTAGAAGTATGCACTATATTATTGGTGTAAGGACTGCACACTCCAGGTCCTTATAATGTGATAACCCAAATTTCTAAAATGATTTTGTTTAAATGAAAAATATGAATTTCAATGTCGTGTCTTACCAAAGATGGAAGAGGAAGGGAAGGCAAGAAGAGAGAAAAAATTTAGCGTCATTTTTGTAAAATTTGCTCGAATTGTGGTAGGTGACTCTGATCCTACTTTTATTTTCAAATATTTTGATTTCAATCATTTGATTCTCCCCAAAACTGATTTTATTGCATTTTCCCTAGATTTATTGAATTTCTACCATGTAACTTTTTATATGATATCATATTTATTATTCTAGAAATTTTGATTGTAACATTTTTTAATTTCACCAAATAAAATAGAAGTTATTAAATTTTGTATGATTTTTCCTAAATAGAAGCAAGTTTTTTTTATTTAAGCAGACTATTAATAGAAGCATTGTGAATAAATGTAAACATGTGGTTAAGTAATAGCTGGTCATTATTACTGCTAAAAAATATGATATTAATATGTGAGAAAATTAAGTAAAAGGCTGGTTTCACTAACGTTGGCTGAATATTGACTGACCTGTACAAGATGGTGGGCTAACGGATTTTCCTTTAAATATATAGTTAAGTGTTATCCTCGACTGATTCACATGTGATACTAATTAGCAGTTATAAGGAGTGATTATTGTGCCGATGAGACAAAAGAATGATTACTCTGTTTATTAAACCTACGATTACTGACTACGGATTACTGATACTGAAATACACCGCTTAAATAAGGACTTACTTGATTAATAAGATTATTGAAATGGATGTTACTGATTCATTATTACTGCACGTTTTTATTGTTCACTATTTACTGATTTATTATCACTGTACTAATTTACTATTATTGTTATGGGTTTACAGATACCGATATTGTCACTGATATTGATATTGATGTTACTACTGGTATATTGTTACTATTGTTCTTGATTGACCAATTATATGACGTATTGAGCATATGATTACGATATTGCACTGATGTTGATATAGAATGTGATTATTGTTATTAGTTTATTGCATTTATATCACTACTACCGTTTTACTAAATTGATATCACTACTCCCAATTTATGTCATTGATATGATTTTTTATATTCTTTACCAATGTTTTGATTTTACTAATCTATGCGAGTCCTTTATTGATGGTCATTGCTTGATAATATTATTATGATGATGCTTTATGGTTTCGACATCTATATTGATTTACTGATTTTCACATTGTACTACTTTATTGATTCTCGTATCATATTGTTTTATTGTTTACAGACTTTATTGCTACTGTATGTGTGTTTTACTATTTTTACACATTCATGTCATATGACTGTAATTGATATTGAACTGATTACACATGAATATTGCTTCTTTACCATATTTTGGGTTAGCTATAGGATTTGGTGATCTATTGGGCTATTTAACTCATTATATGTGATTTAAATCATTTCAGTTCAGGGAAGATGATCAGGATTGTGATGTTGATCAGGTTTCTCTAGGTTTACTATTAGTCAAAAATATAAAAAATAAAAAAAAAGGTTTACTATTAGTCGTTTCTTTCTGTTGATAGTTATTATTTTGTACTAAAGACTGAAATTATATATTGTATTTATATGATTCCTGAGTATTATATAAGATATTAGAGAAATGAATAGAGATGCATATAGATGTTTTGATCGATGGAATTTTCTTCTGCTGATATTTGATTTTATTACTGATAATTGAAATTAAATAGATATGGTTGTCGCCTAATAAAAGATAAAACAACAACAACAACAACAACAACAACAACAACATCAAGCCTTTATCCCACTACGTGGGGTCGGCTAATAAAAGATAAAAGAAAATCCAAATTAGATTTTGGGGAATCATATATTATTTATGATGATGAAACCGACCGTGAGGATCTGGTGGAGGAAATATGAGGGAGCACTTACACCTGGATGTAGCAAAAGTGTCCCTAAATCCAGTGGTGGAATTTCCACATAATCACATCATAAAAGTGAGGAAGTAGATCAGGGAGCAGCCAGTGGTGGTCTTGGTAGATAGTGGGGCTACTCACAACTTATCTCCAATCAGGTCGTGGACCAGTTGGGATTGAAGTTGATAGATATGGGGAGCTTTTGAGTAATGATGGGAATAGGAAAGGTGGAGAGGACTAGGGTGGTTTGCAAGAGCTTAGTGTTGTCACTCAAGGGCATACACATAGTGGAGGATTTCTTCCTTCGAATTTGGAAAGTACTAATGTGATCTTAGAGATGAAGTGGTTACAGACGATCGGGAAGACAAAGGTGAAATGGAAATCCTTGACTATGAAGATTCAAGTGGAAGAGAAGAGGATGATGCTACAAGGAGATGCCAGTCTATGCAGAACAATGGTTTCATTCAAAATCATGGTCAAGTTAATACAAGGAGCAGGGATGGGATACTTGGTGGAGTTGAAGAGCCTTGAGGAGGTTTGAGATTCAGAGTAGGTCGATGTCCCTAAGTGTGTAGATCAGCTTCTATAGCAATTTCCTGAGGTTTTTTCAATAGTCTAGAGGATTACCGCCACTCCGGGAGCACGACCACATTATTACCTTAAAGGAGTAAGCTTCTCCTATTAGTTTACGACTGTACTGATATCACCAGATTCAGAATGATGAGATAGAGATGCTCATCGGAGAGATGTGAGCCCCTTTTTTAGCACAATTTTACTAGTGAAAAAGGATGGCAGTTGGAGGTTTTATGTGGATTATAGGGCCCTAAACAAGTAAAATTGTGTTGGATAAGTTTCTTATCCCCGTGATTGATGAGCTACTGGATGAGTTATTTGGGGCAATCATCTTCTCAAAGATTGACCATAAATCAAGGTAACACCATAACAAAATGAAGTCGGGGATGTTCACGAGATACTTTTCAGGACTCATGAAGGTCACTACGAGTTTTTGATAATGCCTTTCAGCCTTACCAACGCTCCAACCACTTTTTATCCCCTTTTGAACCGAGTTTTTCAACCCTACCTCAAAAAGTTTGTCTTGGTATCTTTTGACGACATCTTGATATGCAACCGTATGGAGGAAGAGCATGTGGGTCACCAGAGGACTGTACTGAAGAATTTGAGGGAGCACCAACTGTATGTCACTTAAAGAAATATTCTTTTGCACAGCCATGTGTGGAGTACCTAGGACATGTGGTAAGCAAAGCAGGGGTAGCAACAGACCAATCCAAGATTGAGGCTATGCTGGATTAGCCTTTAGCTAAGAACCTAAGGAGCTGAGACGGTTCTTAAGCCTCATCGTGTACTAGCATGGCCATTGACTAAGCGGCTAATGAAGGATAGTTTAAATTGGGGGGGAGGCAGCAACACAGGCCTTCGAGCAACTAAAGAGAGGCATGACCAAAGTACGCGTGTTAGCACTCCCTGATTTCAATAGGTCGTTTGTGGTGGATACGCATGCATCAGGATACGGACTAGGGGCAATGCTCATGCTGGATCATCGGCTTGAAGAGAGCACAGCATACCATCCCAAGATAAATGCTTAGATAGAGGTGCTCAACAGAAGTGTGGAGACCTGTTTGAGATGCTTTGTATTAGATATGCTGAAGAGTTGGGCAAAGTGGATTGATTAGGCAAAATATTGATACAACACCTCGTACCATTTAGTAAAAAAATACAAACCTTTAAGGATTCTCTATAAGAGAATCACCTCATTTGATTCATTATGGACATAGAACTACAACAGTATTAAGTATAGATTAGTACTTAGAGGAGAGGACGGGATATTATCTGAGCTCAAGGGACATATGTCAAGAGTCCAGCAAATCATGAAAAGGAAGGCGGGTGAGCATTGAGCCAGAAGACATGGTTTACTTAAAGCTGAGACCCTGCAGGCAGAAGACACTAGCCAGGACGAAGAATGAGAAATTATCCCCAAGATACTTGGGCCTTACGAGGTTTTGGAATGCATTTGAGCAATAACCTATCGATTATGACTACCACCCTCATCAGCATTGCATCTAGTCTTTCATGTCCCACAGCTGAGAAAGGCGATAGGAGATCATACACCAACTTCACTACCCTCGACTTTAACAAAAAACATGGAGTTTATTTTGGAACTCCTAGAAGTACGTGTGCAAGGAGGAGAGACAAGGGCACAGGAAGTGCTAATCAAGTGGAAGGATTTGCAAGAGCATGATGCTACATGGGATCCATATGAGAAGATTAGGAGACGGTTCTCATCCTTCCACCTTAAGGTCAAGGCAAGTCTTTAGGGGGCGAGTATTGTTATGACCACGCCCTCTACGGGAGTGAGTCATCCGCACGGTTCAAAAGAATCGAACCCAGATGAGAAGTTGGGCAGATACAGGGAGGGGGTTTCGGCTCCCCTTTTAGGGACCAGGAAATCTGTAATTCAATATGTAAGGAGGAGAAATAGAGGGTGAGATATTAAGGAATGTTTTAGTTAAAATTGGGAGGGAATTAATTAGGGAAAAGGATCCAAATTGAATTCAAATGGAGAGGGAAACATTTAGGAAAAGTAGGATGATTTGGGAGGAAATTAGGGAAGTCTATTTAGGGCTAAATGTTGGGTTATTTAAGATGGGATGCATGAGTTTCTGTTATAGTTTTCTTTGAGAGTTTTTTAGGGGCTTCTAGGGTTTGTGGAAGAGCTAATCTACCTCTTGAATAGTAGATCAGTTGTATCTTGCATTGTTTTAAAGAAGAAATGTAATGTAGCTCCGAAATTTGTATTCCTGCACTTTACTCTTATGTCCTTTGCTGTTTTCTACCTCCAAAACGCATCAGCATACTTACAAATTGAAACAAAAAATAGTCATCAATTAATATACAATATTACAACTAGAATTACATTTACCTATGGTGCAGAATGATTCAATCCATAAAAGCGAAGAGTAGTTTCTGATACTTCAACGGTAATGAATGAAGCAAGAAAAAACTGCATATGCTGAAAAGAATCTAACAAGAAGCTCTAACAAAAGAACTGGAATAATGATATAGATAGAAGTGCTATGATGTCAAGTTATGTAGATAGAAGTGCTATGATGTCAAGTTATGTAGATAGAAGTGCTCTGATGCCAATTTCTGTAGACAGACGTGTTATTACAATAATTGATGCATACAGATGAAGTTTGATGCCAACTTAAGCACATAAAAGTGATGTAAAATCAAGTGATGTAGATAGAAGTAACCTAACAATTAATGCAAGATGAGGTACCTTGAACAGTAAGCTTGTGAAGTGATCTAGTGTTTAGGTAAACTGAACTAGACAATTTTTTTAACATCAAAATTGTAGAGCAACATAACGAAGAAGTACAACTTTAAATCACTAAATTTCAATGAGAATTGAGAGAATATGGAAAGCAAGATAGGATGAGATGGAAGACGGGGGGCGGGGCTAATTCCAATGGAATTCAAATTCAAGTATATTCTTCGCGTAAGTCCAAGACATTATTTTATAGAGAAAGGAACCAAACAATTACGTCCAAATAAAAAGGAAAGTTGCATAAACACCAAACTAATAGATATTTTCTAGGATAAACATTAAGGGAAAATACATATAATGTGAAATAAACTCTAAATTAAATCCTAAAGAGGGTTATTGTCCTGCCTCAAATAAGGATAAACTATTACTTAACATTTATAGTTATCAAAGGAATGATAAGAAAATTAAGTCTCAGAATTAACAGCTGATCATAAAAATCTAGCATCAAATGTGGTAAAAAAACATTACCTTCTTCAATAAGACCTTTCAAAGCCCATAAATCTCCCATAATAGGTCCACCGCCTCCTATGAGAAATGATGTAGAATCTGGTCAATAAACGTTCATAGCCCTCGTGCATACTTAAAAATGACCCTTCAAAGCCCTAAGTCTGTCATCCACTAGCTCCAATGGAAAAATGAGAAATGACTTGTAGAATTTGAGAAATAAGCATTCACAGCCCTTACGCAAGTTATACATGCAAGAAACTTCTGCAAGCAAGAACTTGAAACCCATCATTAGCAACAACACTGTAGCAGCTGCAGCATCTTCTTGCTTGTTTCAAATTAATTCGTGAAATTCTTACATCAAACGATTATCATCAACATAGCACGTCTAGAATAGGAATGAACATGTTGATATTTCAATTATTTTCCCAAGACTAGAAAACAAAAACAACAACAACAATAAAATCTAGCCTTTATCCCACTAGGTGGGGTCGGCTATGTGAATCCTATTTTCCCAAGACTAAAAAAGAATTTCAAAATTTCACATGTGAAAATAACAAGAGAAAATGCATAATGTTAGAGCTTACCTCTTCCACCAAAGACAAGCAGTCGCTTCTCAACCATGGTGGCTGTATGCCCACACCTCGGTGGTGGTGCAGAACCAATAATTGATAACTCTGTCCACTCGAGTGATACTAGTTATAAAAACATGAGAAAGCATAGAACCCTTGAGAAACTATATCTAATTACGGAATTTATACACAGTGATAAGGTTAAAAAAATCCAAAAGCGGTATAGCATTACTTGTGTCTAAGATATAAACATCTGACAACCATTTTTTACCATCCCAACCACCGTACCTGCAAAACATTCATACTTTAGAAGTATTTTTGGCAATAAAGTGCTTATTCTGAATTATTTCATTGAATTCAATTTATACCTACATAACAATTTTTCTATTTCCAATAGCTGAAGCAGCAGAAAACTCCCTTGGTGATGGCAAGTCACCAAAGCTTGTGAGCTCTGACCATTGCCAAATTTCTGACAATAACATATAATGGCAGAAATTAGTTGGTAGAGATGTAGATAACGAAGTAGAGCTTAAAAATAAGCTAATTAAAACAAGATATGAAAAAAAAAATGAAAAAAAAAGTAAAATAAAGTGAGAGCAGACTATAAAAAATTGGATAGGAATTCAAACTCAATTTAACCTCAAACTGTGCTAGATATAGTTTTTTTTTTCTTGAATAATATTCATTCATAGAAAAAAAGATGATGTGAAAGGTAACATGGACTTGCAAGCTTTTCAGAAAATTCACAGAACGCCAACAGAATAGTATGACTGACAACAAGAAATAGGAAAATGAAACACATTACATTTCTTTCAAATTAGAACATGAGGCAAAAAGGATATATCATGTAGCACAGCATAGATTTCCAATAAAGGAAAATAATATGATAGAAGCATAAAAAAACATACAGAATGCTAAAGCACAATGGTTAGATAGACTATGCGGACAAAGGAAAATAAATTCCAAAATACCAGCATTTTTCAGAAAATAATAAATAGAGGTTCTAGTTGTAGTTACAAATTTGCACAAACATAATTATTGGATGCAGAGAATGAACTAAAAACAAATCCAGTTTAAGAAGATGAAGAACATGCGTACCAGTATCAAGCATCCAAAAATCACCCAACCTAACAAGATAATTATTTGGTAAGTGCCAACGTCATATAACTCTTAAAACTCAAGAACAAGTAATAATAGAAAAGTATACCACCTCTTGCTTCCTGAGCGCCCACCAAAGATAAACATATGGCAATCAATAGCAACTGCAACATGAAATGCACGTGGAGCTGGTCCCACCTGTCCATCAGATCCACTTCCTGTACAGTCAGGAGCAAACCAAATACCATTGTCTGCGCATAGAAGAACCCCTCAAACATTTAGAACACTTCTTGTAAAACCCACTCTTAAAGTTAAAAGGGCAACTAAAGGTCTACAATACCGAGAATTGGCTCTAATGGTTATATTATGTAATCATACTACTTATAAAAAATTTGTACAACAACAACAACATCAAGCCTTTGTCCCACTAAGTGGGTCGGCTACATGAATCATTTTTCTCCATTGTGTCATGTTAAAAGTCAAATTCTTATTTAAAAATAATAAAAAAAAATCATTTCTAATATTTTCTAACCAAGTCTTTTTAGATCTATCTCTACCTTTCTTAACATAAGTCAAATCTAATACCTCTACTTTCCTAACCGGGGTCATCGGAAGTAGAAAATTTGTAACGATAAACAAATTTCAAACAGTGAGATAGAAGGTGAAGGGAATTGGAAGACGCCTAGTGAAAGACAAGTGCATCATACTGGAGTTTAAGAGTGGTTTATTTAGTATCAAATCAGCATTGGATTTTCCCAATAATCTGTGAAACTGGGACAATACTGCTATCATCACCATGCATCATTGTCTAGATTGATATAGCAAAATAGAAGTATGCTTCAGCATGAGAAATATAACTGATTTGTCCCACTACATAATCAAAATGTCAAAAGTGAAACACCCCATCTTTGTTAATTCATAGTTTCGGCAAGGTTTGTCCCTTAAATAAACCTCAAAATTTTCAGATCAATAATACCCGGGAAATGGATATAAATGTAAGATCAAAAGTTCATTCAATGGTCCTTTTAACCATAATTGCAAAACTTCGTGATAGTCTTTTGTACATTCCATGCATCACATACATAGGTTACTCTGCTCCACAGAAGATTTCGCAACTACCTCATATGGAGTAAAGGCAACTGAGATCCATAATAGAGACGGACCATAAGGAAAAGAAATTGTTTCCAGCATCTTGCATTTTAAGCGCATTAGGAGATTACTTCTCGAGAAGATTTGTTGACCTGCCATGGTGGAGAGTTAAGAAGCAACAGAATAACACTTTCAAGAGAATATTTTGTGATTTTAATAGCACTCTCTAGGACGAATCGTCTACATAAAATTAATTACTCGTGTACCCTTCTACATTTTAAAGGGGAAACAACATCAGGGGTGCTGTGTCAACTCCACTAGGGCCACGTCATCTAAAGCATACTGTCCTAAATTCATCTCATAAAAGCCTTCTGAGATTCATAAATGAGACCTAGTTTGAAATGATGCCGGATAAGGAAAACAAGAGAAAGGGAAATAAACTGAAGTGGATCTATTAAAGCTTTGTAATCTAATGTGACCGTTGCCAGTTACTAGAAACGTAGCAAAAAGTCCAGCCCCAGGTATTTACAAATAGATTATAATACCATCGTCTACAGAGACTATTAGTTCTTCCACCATCGTCTAAATGTGTGGCATGCATTTTCAAGAGCATGGCATGATTGCTTTTCTTTAAAGGGGCCCTGAATTGGAGCTGAGAGATGGACAAAAGAAAAGAAAAGGAGATTGAATTATCTCATGAATCATGATCTTCTAGGGTAACAACAAAAAGATTTCGGATAAAGTTCAATCTCATTATATTCGCTCATTCTCCTTAACCAAAACAAGCTTCAACCTATAGCAGGTGAGAGTTTAAAACGGCTGAGCTTATACCGAGCAATTTAACCAATTTTATTCATCTTCTAAATGTGCTTTCTTGAGTAATTGTTTGACTGAGGTCTGTAGCGTCAAAACTATCTAAATAAGCATTCTGAAGAAGTCCTTTTACGCCCTTTTAGACAACCATTTTTACAGGTTAGCTTCAAGGATAAATTAGATTCCACAGAGGCTGTTCTACCATTGAAATTTGGTGTTCGACTATTCTTACTCTAGAAATCTAATATCATGGTGAGGCAGTTCAATAATCATCTAAATAGCATGAAAATATCAAGGAAGCCAATGTTATTGGAACTTTTGCATGTTAAGCCTGATCCATCTGTACAGGAAACTCGAAACCCATGACAAGAGAAGTGATGAAAAGAGGAAGTGGAAGAGAGTAAAACTGCATACCAACGTCATAGACGGAGATATCAACGAGAAATCTTCGATCGGCGAAGCCTCCAAATACGACAACCTTCGATTTTCCCACGTTCACCGCAGTGTGACCGCTGCATTTCCGAAAAGTGTTGCCGACAGGATAATGTACGAGATTAAAACAAGAAATCAAAATGGGAATGAGGAATTGAAGAGAAAAGGAAGTGCAAATAGGTTACCTTCGAGCAATTGGGAGATTTCCGCCGAAATCTGAGGAATCGGCTCTAACCCAGTGCATTTTTTGTTTCCCTTTTCCAACCCTGCTTCCAATGGGCCCCTAGAAGCAAACTTGGAGAAGAATCAGAAAAACCAGGATTAACCTGCTGCGTACTCCGTGTGGAGTCCAAAGGTAGGGCTAGACACCCGGACTCCAATTTTTTATGGGTGATTTTTTTTTTCATCCACCTGAGTTTTTTAATAACGTGTGGTTCGATGATTCGGTTCAACTAGTTTAATTAATAATTTTTTTGTCAGTGATGATCCGACCCAGTCCAGATATAATATTTTTTTTTTTTTAAAATGACAGCGTTGTGTCGCGTTCAGTTCTCAAATCGAATAAAAATGTTAAAAGTTTTAGGATTTTATCAGAATTTCATTTCTATTATTGAAATATACTAGAATAGACATGAAAAATTAAAAGAAGAGCATTTAAAGATCAAACACCATGCCATTTTTGTAAATATGTACATCAAATTTCTGTTGTCAAATTTATTTTTTCTCAGCAATAACTACAGAACACAAAGAAACTCATAGTATTGTCCAGAATATAGGTGATTTTCTCATAGCATCTTTATCTTTCTAATTACTGCTGATTTTTTCTAATGCACTCTATTGATCATATATAGATTTGATTTCTGGAGCATACATCCGTTGTTGACCATATATTGATTTATGCAAAACCTCATTTCCTTTGTTGGGGAAACCCTTTTTTTTTTTTGTCATCTAGGTCTCTAACTTATTTAGGAATCTTAGGGATATCCAAGTACACATGATTTCCAACACAAAATAGGATATATAATTTGATGTGTTCATTTATATAATTTTTTATTCAACAATCCTTAGAATAATATTTATTTTAGTAATATAACTTTACATGGGTTACCACAGTATGTACATCATTAGGCGTAGTGTATATATGATTTTCACAAGCCTGTACACATATTGTATAATCTGTACACAGTAACAAACCTATTCAAATAGTATACTAGCATGTATACAGTATGTACAAGTTTATAATTTATTTTAATTAATGATCCTTGTAATAATTTTTTTTAGTAATATATCTTTAGATGGGTTACCACATAATGATACATCATTCAACATACTGTGCACTTGATTAGCACAAGTTTATACATGTAGTGTACAATCCTGTACCCTTTAATTATTACTATTTTTTGCTAAATTACCTATTGATCATATGCATATTTAATTTCTGGAACACACATCCTTTGTTGACCCTACACTGGTTGACGCAAAACCCCATTTCCTTCGTTGGAGAAGCCACTTTTTTTTCGGCCATCTAGGTCTTCGACTTATTTAAGGATCTTAGAGATACCCAAGTACACATGATTTTCGACACAAAATAGAATATATAATTTTATGTGTTTATTTATATGGTTTTTTATTTAATAATCATTGGAATAATAATTTTTTTAGTAATACAACTTTACTTGGGTTATCACAGTATGTACGTTGTAGTGTGCATATGGTTACCATAAGCTTGTACACATAATGTACAATCTATACATAGTATTTATAAGCTTATACAAACATTATACTAGCTTGTACATGGTGTGTATAAGCTTGTACACACTATGTATAATATTATGCAAATAGTGAACAAGCTTGTACACAGTTTGTACAAGCTTTATAATTATTTTTATTTAATGATCCTTAGAATAAAAAAAAATTAGTAATATAAATTTACATGGGTTACTACACTATGTACATCATTCTATATAGTGTGTACAGGATTCCCACAAGCTTGTACATAGTGTACAATCATGTGCACAATATATACAAGTTTGTACACACAATGTATAATTTTGTACACAATGTAAACACTATGTGCAAGCTTATAAATTGTGCATAATCCTATATATAGTATGTACAAGCTTGTACATATTGATAATAGACTCACTTATGTCCAAATTTTTTATTCATTCTAATAAATTACTGAAGAGGAAATAGTATTGCATCATAAGGTGTTCCCAACCCCACAAAACCTCCCAACACAATATACCTTATCAACCACCCTACATCCCGTCTCATTTGGCCCATCTTACTTACTCTCATGAGCAAGCCCCATCTGTCTCCCCCCATGAGACCCATCTTGCTCATTCTCCTAAGCAAGCCCCATCCATCTCCCTTCATGCATCTTGCTCACTCTCCTAAGCAAGCACCATCTGTCTCCCCTCATGAAACCCATATCCCTCACTCTCCTTAGCAAACCTTGTCACCTAATGAGACATTTCAAAAAGCACTCATTGAAATGTGAGCTTTCATTAATCTTCTAACAAATGAGTCGGATGTTATTAGCATGCTACTTGGACAGATCGAAATGAAATATATGCACACTTTGAAACTAAAGGTGAGCATCTTCAAGTGACTTTATTGGAACAAGTTGCTACTTGTAATGCAGATAAAATGCAATATATGTCTACTCTACTCCCCCTATTATCCATGAGATGGGAATTGCTGAGCTTACTTCCCCAGCTGCCCCTATTGTCCCTGTTGTCCATGAGATGGGAATTGCTCAGCCTACTGCCACAATTGCCCCTGTTGTCACTATTGCCCCTGTTGTTCATGTTGATTAGAATTGCTGAGCTTGCTACCATAGCTACCCCTGTTATCTTTACTATCCATGAGAAAAGAATTGCTGAATAGGCTGAACTATTAGAGCAGCCACCAGCCAAAAAGGTATAACTTTTAAATTTTCTAAATTTTGTAGTCGTGTGTATAGTACTAACACATGATCGAAATTATTCTTAGGTGTCAACTGGTACTATAACCAGTACTATCAAGAATAGGGTTGACAATTAAGGAAGATTGTTAAAACACCTTACACAATATATTACCTGGCAGAAAGAAACAATAAAAATATTTAAAAGAATCGAGATATTAAACTGGGAGAGCTAGTAGCTATAGAGGAGGGTGAGGAGAAAGGAGTTGAAGTCATCAATGTGGATGCATTACATGAAGTTATTATCCTAGCAAACACAAAGATGGATTATAAGGGCAAGGAGCTTATCAATAAGAGTATGCTTGCTTTCATAAATTCTTATTTTGTAAAGCACTCTAACAAGTAAGTTTCAACCTTTCATGAATTCTTAGTTTGTATATTGTAAAATCATGTATATTATGTTACAATGTTGTACAATGTGTGTACAAAGTTGTACACTATTTGTACAACCTCGTATACTATGCAACAAGGTTTATATTATGTGTACAATGTAGTACACTATGTGTTCAAAAGTGTTCCAAATAAGGTCAGAATTGTACACAAATGTCAAACCATATTAATGATGGTTACATGCAAGAAAATATATATTCTGTTGGGAACATCACAGTGTCTAGAGAATAAATTAATAAACTCATTACAGACAAGTACCTCAATGATGAACATGTAGATGCTTTCACCTCCCTCTTAGCATAAAAGAATAAGGTATAATCTAGTATGTATCAAACCTTTCCCTATATCTTCTATTTGTATTATGTAAGCATTCATGCATTTATGATCTATACATTATTTTTTCCCCTCAAGAATCACCCAAGTTGTTTGATTTATGTCAGACCTATGCAAGACAAAATTTCAAACTCGTAAGCAATTTGTATATTAAGCATAAATTGAATTCGTACAGTTGATTGATAGTATGCGAAACTAAGTTCATCCCAGTTCGTACAAAACAAAGGTCTAATTTTTGAACTATTCGTATCGTACGATCTACGATTGTACAGTATTATTATAGGATGATCTCTTGTATATTTTCATTTTTTGGATGGTTTTCATGGATTTTCTATAAATTAAGTCCTAAAAATTGATTGAGAGAATCCTTTTATGTAAACTTCTTTTGAGAGTAACCATTGAGAGTGTGTTTGGGAGAACTTTTGTGAGTGAAGAGTGAGAGATCTAATGAAGAGAAATTATGAGAGATTCACAAGGTTGCCTAAAGTGAGAATCTCATTTGTCTTCTTCTTCAAGTTCCTGCCTGACTTCTTTCGAGGCTCTTGGGAGAAGATTCTCAACATTGGATCAAGGTACTCTACCTTCACCAGGAGGGTAAAAAAAAGCGTGACGGTACTCTGGCTTCACCAGGAGGGTAAAAAAGGATGTTACGGTATGCTGTCATCACGTGGAGAGTGTAAAAGGCACCTGTTCTCTTCCGCACCGGGTTAGTGGAAGAGAGTTTGTAAGGGCTTCTCTGCCTTACTATGGGGACAAAAAGAAAATTGTTTTGTTTAGTGTAATATCTTGGGAAGGAGTCTTCAGGGAGTGGATATAGGTCAGATTTGACCAAACCACTATAAATTTTGGCGTTCTTCTATTCTCTTTTAATTATTCCACATTTTTATTTTCTACATTTAAATCTTTTTGGTTGAAAAATTATGTGATAATTATTTCATTAAGCAACTGTATATTTGAGGATCGTTAATTTAAATTTTTAAAAAGTTTTTTAAGAATCCAAGAAAATTTTTAAATAACCAATTCACCCCCTCTTGGTTAGTCTTGGAATAGTTCTTTAAGGTCTAACAAACTTTTCTAGTTATAAATAATGGTGATTTTGGCTTTCGCTTGTTTTAAATATTTTAAGTTATATCAAATGGATGTTAAGAGTATCTTCGTTAGGGAGTTAATATAAGAGGATATTTATGTTGAGCAACCCCGGGTTTTAAAAATTCATAATCCCTTAATCATGTATTTAAATTAAAGAAGGCATTGTATGGACTAAAACAAATACCTAGGGTATGGTATGAAAAGCTAAGCACATTCATACTAGAAAGATCATTTATTAAAGGGAGTGTGGACACCACTCTCTTCTTAAAAAGAGTAGGAGATGACATTCTTATTATACAAATATATTTTGATAATATCTTGTTTGGATCCATTACTAAAAAATCTTTATGATAATTTTTTTTTAAAATAATGAGTAATGAATTTGAAATGAGTTTGATGGGAGACTTTGAAAGTTTGTTAGGGATGTTAAGCCCTTATGAACTAGCCCATGACTAACCAAGAGAGGGGGGGGGATTGGTATTTTAAAATTTCTCAATCAAAAATACAAACTTAAATCAAACCAAAATTCACCACAAAGAAAATGAAGTGCAGAAAAAGTAGTAGTAAATAACACAAAAATTTATAA